TTGCACTAAAAAAAAGGAAAAAAGTTGATGGCATTAACAGTACGATGTAAAAATTGTGCATCAAGTGTAAACAATGAAAATTTTTTCAAATCTTGAGCGCAACCATTATAATGAAGTGATTCGTAGCGCATTTGTTAAATGCAATTGTCCTGCTCGGGATTGTTTCTTTTCTTTTTTAAATTGATTTTCATCACAGAATTCGTAGAAGCTGAGAATAATATTTTTTTTCAGTCATCATTTTCTTTCAGCATACCGTATTACCATAAGATACCTACGAAAATGGGCAATGGTGGCGTTCAAACGGTTAGTCTTGATAGGGTGCATTCCGGTAAGTAAATAAAATAGTTGATTTATTAAATGCATAGCTGATCTTTGTCTGTATTTACAATCTAAGAGAATTGCAATCGTGCCCTTCTGTGTTTTTATTGTTTCATTTCTAAATCTAGACTATAATTTAATACAGTATGTATGTAGTTGAGATGCTTCACAAACTCTATGCAGCAAATAGAATATATGTGAATAGTTCATGGATGCATTTAGCTAAGTTCGAATAAATATACTTTCTTATCTCAAAGAGAGCTTTTCCTATTTGTAGTATTCTTAGTTGACATAATTCTTTTCAATTCTACTTAAATTTCATCTCGTACTAAATTTACAACTGATATAAGTAATGATTATTATTGCTATGAAATGGAAGTAAATACAAAGAGGGCATGGGAAATTCATCTTTCCAAGGAATTCAAATTGTTTAACTTTGAGAAAATGTTCGTGCACCTGTTAACCAAAAGTATTTGTTCAGTTTTTCTAAATTGCGTTTCTTCTAGTTTTCACACGGTTTCTTAACATCCCTTTTCCAACTTTTAAATTGATATGGAGTACACTCGATCCCCAATCATGAAATTCTTAGATTGTGCTGGGAGTTCGATGGAAAGAACGTGTTATAATATGTGACTCTGTAGATCAGAATTCTTTATTACCCGTCGTAACATTAAAAAGACGTATAACGATCAGATCGAAGAAGCCTTTTTTTGTTGCCGTGTCTAATAGGAAATCACGTTATTCTGTAAGGGCATTTATCTTATTCTGTGACATTCAACCTTTGAGATAATTCTTGATTGGAAAGTCTAGATTCCATAATAAGAGTAACATTAAACTCATATTTTAGGCAGAAGTAATTCTATTTATGCATCTAGGTTATTGATAATACCGATATCCAACCGTAGGTAGGTCAGTCGCTCTTTTTCGGCTTACCCGAATTTCGCCAATAAGACTTTCGCCAACTGGACATTCGCCAATGGCGAAAGTCCAGTGGGACATTGGCGAAATTCCAGTGGACTCTCGCCAATTGGCGAAAGTTACCAGGGTATATTGGCGAAAGTACAGTGGACTCTCGCCAATTGGCGAAAGTCACCGGGTTATATTGGCAAAAGTACAGTGGACTCTCGCCAATTTGCGAATGTCCTGGACGCGTATTGGCGAAAGTGTAGTGGACTCTCACCAATTGAAAAAAGTTTGATGGACTTTTACCATTTGTCACAGAAGAATATAATTGTTGAATATGAGCGAGGAGGATGGGTATCAGTATATATCTGGGTGTTGTCTATTAATCTACATGTTACACTGTTGAATGCACATCAGACTCTCGCGAATTGGCGAAAGTCACCAGAGTATATTGGTGAAAGTACAGTGGACTCTCGCCAATTGGCGAAAATTACCAGGGCATATTGGCGAAAGTACAGTGGACTCTCGCCAATTGGCGAAAGTCACCGGGATAGATTTGCGAAAGTAAACTGGACTTTCGCCATTGGCGAATGTCCTGTTGGCGAAAGTCTTATTGGCGAAATTCGGGAATCCCTCTTTTGCAAGGGTGAAAAAACGAGACTTCAGGGCTCCGGAGTACTAATGGAGTCTAGACCTGGCGTGTCTTTATCTAGATTCCACCTGTACTCTCTGTGCTTCAACTGTACTTCACCAAGACTCTATCTGTACTCTAGAGTACTGGAGTCTCACTTTCCCTCTTGCTCTTTTGATTTTTCTGTACTTCATACTAAAAATGCAAAAACACTGCTACCTTAAACATTGAGCAGCTCCACAGCAGTCTTACCTACTTACAGTCTTTTCTAGGTATTTATGATCGACGTCAATCTACGCATTTTAACATAAATGGCTTTTCCAAAGAAGAACAGGTAATCAATGTGTAATAATTTGTAAAAAAATAATTACTGGTCATATTTATATATATATATATGCTGTACAGGGTTGCGAAAAATATTTTGCTAGGGGGGTATAGCTCTAATGGCAAATGATATCAATATTGAATTTTATACCAAATGAAAGCTCGTCGAAAACGGGATTTATTGATACTAAATAGTAAGAGTTATCAAAAATTTTTAATATCGCACTTAAGAAGTTTTCAGAAATCTTATACTTTTTTGACGTAGAAAATTCAGACGCTAGTAATTTCAAAATGGAGTAAACATTTTTTCTTGAATATTTCTACATGGTTCGATAGAGCTCGTCGAGCTGTACAAAACTGTATATAATAAAAATTTTTTGAGCCATTTCTCTAAGATACAAAATTCAAAAAACTACTTGGAAAATCTTAAAAAATGTTAAAACATTTTTTTTTTTATTTCGAAGAAAAACATTCGATTTTTTAATAAAAGTAGTTTTTTTCATTATTTTTACAACTACAGACGTTTCAAAATATAGTCATCGGATGCAGCATGAAAAACTGCGTTTAATGGGTATATTTTGAAACATCTGTAGTTGTAAAAATAATGAAAAAAGCTACTTTTATTAAAAAATCGAATGTTTTTTTCGAAATAAAAAAAATAAATGTTTTAACATTTTTTAAGATTTTCCAAGTAGTTTTTTGAATTTTGTATCTTAGAGAAATGGCTCAAAAAATTTTTATTATATACAGTTTTGTACAGCTCGACGAGCTCTATCGAACCATGTAGAAATATTCAAGAAAAAATGTTTACTCCATTTTGAAATTACTAGCGCCTGAATTTTCTACGTCAAAAAAGTATAAGATTTCTGAAAACTTCTTAAGTGCGATATTAAAAATTTTTGATAACTCTTACTATTTAGTATCAATAAATCCCGTCTTCGACGAGCTTTCATTTGGTATAAAATTCAATATTGATATCATTTGCCATTAGAGCTATACCCCCCTAGCAAAACATTTTTCGCAACCCTGTATAGTCATCTTTAGCAGTTATGCTTCCCAGATAAACTAATGCTAATTATCTTAACTGCCGAGCTACTTACTGATAAGTGTGCCTATGTTTTAGAGCAACAAATCTGGTTTAATTATTTATAAGATCAACCACTCTAATCATTAGTTTTTTATGACTTTCTAAAAGCACTGTGACAGATTGTCTCAATCCCAGAGCTCTCCTTATGCCAAAATAGTTTTACTTCTGTATTTCATGAATTTTTTTCTAGCGATACGATTCTCGGCACTAGGCCTTGATTAGGAATGTTTATTCATAGTGTTTTGCCCGGAGACACATACAGTAAGAATGATGTTTGCCGTAGCTTTCTTAATCTTAAAATGAATGATTCATTTCATAACCTATATATCTTCACTGGGAATCTGCGTCTGCAGTGGCGACTGGTTTGTAAATTTAGATATAAGCTTCGTTCTAGTTTGGTAATGCTTTTAAAGATAAAGATGCCAATTAACGATATTTATGAAGATTTTATTTTCTATGCAGCAATATTGTGCTCTAAACTCTATAACGTAAATAGAATAATTTGAATAAGAGAAGACATTTATGTAAAATGCAAACCAGAAATTGTTTGAATTTATAGGATTTAAATTCATGTTCAGGTCACAATAAACAACTCTTGGCTCTAAACAACATGATACATTAGAATTTTCCACCGAGAGTTATCATAAGAGAGATTTTTCTACCTCATAAACTGATCAAGACTCGGCTAGCTGAGGATTTCAGTTTGGGTTTTTATGCCTGCATATCGGAAAGTGGAGCCCATATGAGTGCCTGTCCTTTTCTTGATTGCTATAAAAGTACATGATCATTTTCTTAAATTATGTTTCAGTAGGCTCATAAAAGTTTTCATGCATGAACATCGATATAACCGAGTGATTGATTTCAAATCAAGCAGGTGCCATGATATACAAAAGAACTTATGATGATCGTTTTGTCTGTGAAATTAGAATGACTGCACTGTAAAAAGTAGAATGCCTATATGAATTCACACAGGATATTCTAGGAATGCCCATATGAATTCAGTGATGAATTTCTACTTTCTTGAAAATAAAATATTTATATTCAAGTTTGCATTTTAAGCAGTAAATTAAATTGAATTTCTATTATATAAAAAATCAAGCATTTTCTAAATAACAGAAATTCGATGAATGAATGATAAAAGTTCCAAAGTGCCTTAGCTTATTGAAAGTCGATTTTCTACAAAATAGAATTTCAAAAAAAATTACAGTGTGCATAAAGTTTTTCTACGGTTTTTTGCTGTACTTTTCTCATATGCGTATTTCCCATAAACTATAAAAATCGAGAGAATTATAAGTTAAAAAAAAGTATAACATAGATTTGTTCAATCCTGCATTTCGTGACATATGATATCTTCTAATGTTGGTGTCACTTATTTGATGAAAGTCCGTAGTCGATTCTGCATTAATACAATTCCATAGATATATACATTGCTTAAATATTTTTAGAAAAAAGACTTCAGTAGTCTAGTCTCTTTTAACTAAATGCATGACAGACCAAATAAGTGTACAACGTTAAAGAGAAAAATTTTCTATTTGACGAAAATCAACGTTTAACCAAAGATTAGCTGTGCATTCTTATTACTGCCCTCTCATTTAACTCAAATAATATGTGAGTAGAACGGCGCACAATGGAGTTCTTCATTCTACAGGTGCTTGCTTACTGTTCTCTTAGTAAGTGCGAAATTTTTATCGAGAGCTTTTATTTGCATAGAAGAAACCTGAAAACAAAAACCTACAGATGGCGGACGTCATGAACAGTAATAAAAGTAAAATAAGCTTCAACTTGGATGGCCGTGATGCACTTGTCTCGAATAGAAATGAATATACTGAAGTTAATGATAGCAGTCAGCTTTCTCAATCGGAATCAATTGAATGTCCGTGGTTCAAACTATGTCAGGAATATGTTCGAAGTCTAGGTTGGCAAAAATGCTTTTTTACACTCAAACACGATCAGTGTTACTGCAACCACTGCTATTCAGCATCGTTACCTAGTGTGATTTTAGCGGCTGGGCACAGATATGTTGTACCACGAGGATATGCAGGCTTTGGTCTTACTGTCGATCCAGCACTTGCTAACTATCATCAACTGTGGAGCAAATGGCTCGTTACTTACCATGGTACAAGCCAATATGCAGCGGAGTCCATACTTGCAAACCGCCAATTTCTTATACCTGGTGATAGACTATTGAATGGAACCCTTCTCGGCATACGACCAGGTCATATTCCTGGCAAAAAACATATTTACACATCACCATCAATACGCTACTCAAGCCTTGAAGTTTACAGTGTTCTTAATAACTTTACTTCTTCATCTGGACAAAGGTATACGGCCCAACTAGTGTTTCAATGTCGTCAAAAGCCGAATACATTTAAGGTACAGCGTGAAACCGTGGGAAAAGGGGATCAGCCCATTTGTGAGTTTATCAGCAACGAAGAAATTGAATATTTCACTGAGATTCGTGCGTCACTGGTTCCGTATCGATTGCTTGTTCTGTTAAAAGAAGTGTCTTAGACTTGTAACTCAGAGGATTGTCTTTTTAAGACTCTCTTTGCGTTCTCTTTAAAATTTCAACTTGTATTCAAGTATGTATATTTTTTCCATAAAGCAAAGCATTTTAAACAGATAACCTAAAATATACTTCATGGTGTGAGGGTGTGGGTGTGGGTGTGTGGGTGTTGGTGTGGGTATGGGTGTAGGTGGGGGTGGGAGTGTGAACAGCTACCATGATATATAGATTTCATCATTACCAAAGGAATCATCAGATGGCAATTAATCTTAATAATTTTTTACGACAAATCACAAGACTATTTTATATCTGACATATATATAGAATCAAAACTCATATGCATATGTTGATAAATTCAAGAAACTGTAGCGTGAACAGCTACCATGATCTATAGATTTCATTTCCCATGTTTGGATGTCAGTTATTGTTTTTTTTCAAATTATTTGTAGACATATATCTGAAAAAACAAAAAGAAATTTGAACTTCATTTGAAATTTGATTGGATTAAATTTCGAATCAATGTGATACATTTTTATTTATTTGATAGGATGTATGAATAAATTATTGATATGGTTTGTTTTTCGAATTGTTTATAATGATGCTTTTATTGTTTTGTGGAGTAATCGTCCTGAGTAGAGAAACTTGCTTGTCATTGGTATTCGGTCTGTGTAGGTGTGGTGATAGTTGTAGTTTGTTGTAGGGTCGTTTTCTTTTTTTCGAATTTTCCTCATTGAGGGTGTGGATGTGGGTGTGGGTGTGGGTGTGGGTGTCGGTGTGGGTGTGGGTGTGGGTGTGGGTGTGGGTGTGGGTGTGGGTGAAATGGATGTGGACGTAAGTGCTACTGTTATGATTGACACCCACACCCACATCCACACCCACACCCACACCCCACCCACACCCACACCCATACCCACACCCACCCACACCCACACCCCACCCACACCCACACCCATACCCACACCCACCCACACCCACACCCCACCCACACCCACACCCATACCCACACCCACCCACACCCACACCC